ACAATGGATGAAAGGTTTCCTTCCAAAGTCAGATCCATTGCCTGAAAAAGCCTTGGTGGGTGAGAAGGCGACACAAGCGCCTCTCTGAGTTTATAGGTAATAAATGTGGCCAAATTTACTTTACGGATGCTTTGAGATTGCTCCTCAAAAATTGAGATATTAAAAACAGTTGAGTATCAAAGTATTCAGAACTGGAAGGATAAAAACTGGTATTTTTTTCGGCCTAAGCTGAAGAGAAGCATTGCACTGTACATTAAAACATGTCACATTTGTCAACTGACTGGAAAACCCGACCAAGCAATTAAACCAGTACCTTTGTTCCCATTTCCACCGACATGCCAACCGTTTATGTGCTTTCTTGACTTTGTGGATCTACTACTGAGGTCAAAGGCAGGAAATGTGTACTTACTAACTGTGACATGTCATCACTTGTCATCCAGCTGCTTGCCTGATATGAAACGTTACCTCTCGATCAGTGTTATTAACTTGGTTTTGGTCATTTTGTTCTGGGTCCTCTACTGCAACTGGGTAAGTGACTGTTGGCCGGGTGTGAGCCATACACCATTTCCCATCTCCATCAGTGAAAAAGGCAGAGATCAGAGATCCACAGTTCAGGTAGGACAGTCTGTCAACAAGCACTCAACAAATCTGACCTTTACGGACAAATGGTGAGTTTGTCTTTATGACGGGGAAAGCTAAAGGAAGTCTTGTTTGCATTTTTAAACAAGCAACGTGTTGAACCTGGCGCACGTGTGGAAGAAGACCAAACTTCTTCCACATGAGACCAAACTAGCACTTTTAGGAGCTACATGCACATCACTTGCTCAGTTGATTAGAAGATGAATCAGGCAGACTACGGGACGGTTTTGTGAGAAAACCTGACTTTAAAATCCTTAAAGCAATACAGTCAGATCATAAAACACTGAGGAGTGACAAAGTCCAATCATAATCGTATCTATGTCAAGTCTATGGGAATGATCCGATCTTCAGACTATATGTAGTCTAACTGACTATGAGCTGTGTTGCAAAGAATAAGCAACTATTTCATGCAGCATACTGGCAGAATTCTGAGCATTAACTCTCAGTGCAAAGTGACAAAATGTGAAAGCTCCTGGAAGTACATTTTAAATCCACAAACACCAATCAATGGATCAACTCTTATCCAACTCCAGTTAACTCTTTTTCCCACCCGTCCCTGCAGCAGTGCACCGACGTATCGCTAGAAGCGTAAACAAGTGACATCTGCTCACAAACAGGCAGCACAGAGTGAATTTAACAAGAAGAGTGAATTTAACAAGAAGAGTAAATTTAACGCCGAGCTGACGGTCAATTCTGGGGCCGGCGTTTGAGAGTTTTCACTCACCACAGCGTCAGGCTTCCAGTGGGTCACTGGGGGAACTGGTTCTACAGGAGCTCCCTCTCTCAGCAGGTCACAGCTTACCAGATCTACACCTACATTTGTTCAGGGGAAAAAAAAACTGAACTGCATTGCATTTGCATTACATTCTGTCCACGAATGACGGCGTGAAGCTTCTGTGGTCTGGTTGACCTCTGAACTACCTGGGATGTATTTGCTGATGATGTGTGCGGTCTCGGTTGCCCTGGTCATGCTGGAGTGGATCAGAACGTCATATTTCAAACCCAACGCTGCCAACCTCTGACCCGTCAACTCGGCCTGCTCGCGGCCTGAGAAAAAGGGAGGGAGACGTGAAGCCGGCCGGAGAAGTGATCGGACCGCACGCTAAATCGAGACGTCAGGCGGCCGTCAAGACCTAGTGGGGTGAGGACCCGCTCCGAGTCGCCGTTTCCACTCAGGTTATACTGGGAATGCCTGATGAGGAGAATGTGGCGCGTTGCTTTGGGCTTGCTGTGGTCCTGCTCAGAGCTGGGGTCTTCGGTGACGCTGTCCCTCTTCCTCCCGTTGGACAGGACAGACGGGTCTCTCCTGACAAAGAGGTGATTTTGAGATTAGGGGAAGCTTAGCGTAAAGGGGAAGAAAACACCGTTGACCCAACAATCATCGAAGATCATGGGGAGAATCTCTTAATATGGCCCGACAAATCCCTGGACTTACACTGTCGCCCTTTAAATTGACTTACATGTCGCTGACAGTCCATCTCGTGGATCTACAAACTCTAACCCAATTCTTGCGATTGTGACTAGAAGTTCTCCAGAAGTGTCCATCTGGTACAACAATAAGTGTCTGGATGGATAAACTAACACGTACAGAATGACCCGCTGCTGCCTTGATTGCGATTGAAGAACCGAATGCCGTTACGCAGGCGACAGAGATCACACAGATACGCCGTGTTGACAGATATTTTGGACATGTCAGTGAACTCGAGCTAAACTTCTTAACTTTGCAGCACTTTCTTTCTCACCTTCTTTGTGTGCTTTATGAAAGAGATGTTTCAAAGAAGGATCGTTTTCCTGATTCTTCTTGAAGTTGTTAGAGATATTAATCGGTGGAGTTAATGGCAAGGCAGGTTCAGCAAGTTCTGAACTGCTTTGTTCTCTCACCTACATTGTTTTGATTCTTCATCTTTACTTCCTCCTTCCTATTAATCATCATCTGCATCTGGCAGAGGTTCTAATTCCTTTTTCATCAGACCGAGTGACGACAGCACAGGAGTATGCGCCAGTTTTCTTGAGTCATACTGTCAACGTCATGCATTCAGGCTCTTGTCATTACCAGCCTTTGAAAGCTTCGGTACAAAACACATTAACACTGAACATGTTTTAGATATTAAAGGAACAACAGTAGGCTGGTTTAAATAGTGTCTGTTAGATTCCAGTTTGTTCATGTGAACTGTAAATCATCATTACACTCCAGGATTACTTGTGGAGTACCACAGGGCTCTGTGCTCGGACCAGTTCTTTTGACTATACGCATCTTCTCGTACATTTTGAAAATTGACAGCAAACAAATAAAAACTGCTTCGATTGAATTGGTATTCTATTTATGCAGCCGTCCAGAGGGTCACATGAAAAGCTAAGGCGGACCGGGCCTCCAGTTTGACAAGCGATAAACAGGCTGAACTGAAATTGAATTAAATAAAATCAGTGTGGCAGAGAGTACATATGTCCACCCCACATTTTCCAGCACACTGCAGGTCGCCTGGCTGAAAAAACTAAATCATTTTGTTCATTGTAAAATAAACAAGATGTGAAAATTGACCACTCTTATTGAGGTGGGTACTTTAAAACTTCAGCTGGTATGCAACAATCAGCACAACCTGCTAAGCAGCTGACTGCAACCCGGATCAGTAAACACATCATCAACCTATTGAACTAATGCATTACTACTCGCAAAAGGGATGAACTGATCCGCAAACACATTAGGCAGGAAATTAGCGCTAAATTCCTAAGGTGTTTTGTCTGCAATTATCTTAATCAACTTCGCAGTTTTAAAGAAAACACATCGATGTGAAGCATCCCCGCGTGCCACGTTGGTGTAAATATCAAAGCGGAACCGGGCCCGTCTAATCAGGAGAACCAGGCTGTCGGGAAGGAGCAGAAGAACCTACTTGTCCCAGTTGAAGTCCCAGCCAGGTCCGGTCGCGGCCGGCGTGTTGCTCGCCGGGGTCCGAGCCGGCTGCGCCGCGTGCAGGACTGCGAATCTCGACCACCGGCTCGCCTCCTGTCCGCGCTGCTCCCCGAAGGACCCGCGCGAGTCGGCGGCCGCGGCCGCGAGCGCGGCGGCGGCGGAGCCTGCGGCCAAGCCGCATATCAGTTTCAAAGTTTTACGGTACGACATGCCGCCGCCGAACAGGCCGGATGATGTGGGCTAATTAGCTGGACTTCAACGGGTCTGCTGTAAAACACCAACACGACGCTGTTTATCCTCTGGGCGACGGTAGAGCTGGAAGGCGGTTAGCTGTCGGTTTCAGCTCGGGCGATGCGGACAAAAACATCCGCTGTGCGGGAAAATATAAAATGGGCGGATTCAGCCAACTGAGATAAAGTGAGGGGAACGTGAACGCAAGCTAAGTAAAGCGGCGCCTACAAACACTACGGTGGCCCGTGCGGGTCAAAAAGGTTTAGTTTCCGTTATTTTTGTCATAACTCATTCCTTGTCACACGAGGGCGCTCTTGTACCTGTTGACAGGCAGTAAATTTACTGTGGAACAAATATACGAGCTTCTTCGACAATGTTTTTTTTTTACAAAAATGTTTCAAGTTTTCAATTTCTAAGACTGAGAAATTTCGTATTTGGAAAAACATTTATTTGAGCAAAAAAAAAAAAAAAAAATTGTATGTTTTCTAAGTTGAAAATTTGCTTGACAAAATTCAGGTATGTATTAGAAAAAAAAAATCTTCCAAAAGAATTTCGGTTTGTGAAGTCAAAAATTTGCTCGCTAAAAACATATTTCTTTGACAAATAAATTTTCAGGTTTAAAAGTACGAAATCTGCTCGACAAAAGGGACGGGAGGCATAAAACAGCAAACATCTGCTCAAAAAACAGACACATTAATCAGAACAAATATGGGATTTTTTTGGTTCAAAAAGATTTTAAGTTTGAAAAAAAAATCTAAAGAATTGCCACAGGAACTCAAACCTTTTAAAAATAATTTTTGACAAATACAATTTTTAGTTTGAAAAGTCTAAAAATGTTCTCAAAAATGCTCCAAAAATTTCCCAAGTTTGTTTTTACAAAATATATTTCTAAGCTTGAAATGTATTTTCAAGCTAAGAAATGTGTCTGATTAAACTCAGAATTAAAAATAAAATTAAAAAAATTGAGAAATTCGAATTTTTTTATTTATTTATGTTTTTTTGTTTTGTTTTGATTTTTTGTTTTTGCTGAAACAAATTCTTGACCTGGGTAAAGGAGAGAGCGCGAGAGGGAAAAAAAAAGAGTAGATCCCCAATAAAACAATTTCTCCAAACACGTTCTGATGCTTCCAGGTTTCTCCAAGCGAAGCTCCACCTTTTCAAGCGGCTCGGTGACGTCAGCAGGGGGGGCGGGGTTTCCAGGCTCTTTCGGAGCTGAGCGCGTGCCGCTGCCGACTAACGTCTTGGACCGATGCGGCTTCGACCACCGAGCAGAGACGTACCGCCACAGAAAGGGCTCCCCGCACCCCGCGCGCTCGCACACGCACACACGCACGCGCGCCGGATGCTTTCTTTCTTTCTTTTTTTTTTTTTCTGCATGCGCCTCCGACCGGAATAAATAATTGAGGAATGTGGAGAATACAGAATGCCCAACAGCGCTGGAAAGAGATTTAAACCCACCAAATACATCCCGGTGTCCACTGCTGCCACGCTCCTGGTGGGATCGACCACTTTATTTTTCGTTTTCACGTAAGTTTGTACCGCTCCTTTCTCTCTCTCTCTCTCTCTCTCACTCTATCTGTGCATGTCTTTTTTTTTTTTCCTTCTTTTTTTTTCCACACCCCACCGCCCCTCAACATCGTGCGCTGGCCCCTGGGACCCATCGTGGCTGCGAGTTGGAGCCGCCGAGGTGGGAGAGAAGCGGCGGTAGGGGAGAACATGTTAACCGGCTGACGGTCGGTCAGCAGCAGATCTGCAGCAGCTTTTGGTGCCTTTACCAGCGCAACTCCTGCAGAGATTATGAAGCCCGGATGCTTTCCAGGGAAACTTCCCCCGTTACACATGCACAAAAAAAAAAAAAAAAAGCTCTATTCTGTATCTTCAAGTGATTCCAGTTAGTGCAGGGTGTTCGGCAGACAACTGCAGCGTCCTCCGAGCAGTTTAGGTTTTTTTTTTGGTCAAAGTCGGTGTCCCGCAGGGGCGATCCCGACACGAACGCGGCCTCGGGCAAGCTGTCCCCCCTCCCCTCCTTCTCTTGGAACTCGAAAATGGATATAACGGCCAAGGAAGTGGGAGTTTCGATTGGAAAAAGTTGGAACGGCCCCCCTTGGTGTGAAAGACAGGGAAGGTTTATCAGCCATGTTGGCAGGGGTTAGCTGGCGGCCACCCGCAAATAACTAACGTCCTCAAATGCTTGAGATGTCCGCTGGTATTTTGCTCCTAACGTCCTGTTTCCGTAGGTCAAACACCAAGTATACCTTAATATACATTTATACACACAGTGGAAGCTGTCTTAGCACCATCGCAGAAGCTAACCTGGTCAGTCTTGCTTCATTTCGCTCTTGGAAGTGGCAACCATTTAGTGTCGAGGAAAATGAACGACATGCCTGGCACCAAGTTGTTTCAATTCTAATGCATTTCGATGGACTTGCGTATCAACAATGACATATGGATTACCTAGTAACTTCAGCAGTCATAGAGAGCTCAGGACCTGTACCAGGACTGTTGTAACTATGATTCACTCCAGTGGCAACATCTGATATGCAACTTTGACAGGAATTCAATTGAAATTCTATTAAATACAGAAAACTTTATTGATCCCAAAGGGAAATGAAATGGTGTTGTAACTCTTACGCGTCCAAATTCTTCAGTTATTGCAGGTGGAACGATAGAAGACATTCAATTGGAATCTTATTTTCAAAGGTGTGTTTCAAATAATCAGTACTAATTGTCTGACAATTTCATATTTTGGGATTTTTGTAATTTTTTCCCTATATTTTTAAAAAAGTATACGTCATCAATCTCAAACTGAGTTTTGAACAATCAGTGTTTAGTGTAAAATATCCCAGTGCAAGAGTTTTGTTGTTGTTTTTAGAATTTGATCTTAATGTTACGAAGATTTCAATTTCCTTCAAACAAGCACTTAGCTTAGCACCGTAACCAACTAGGTGTCATCAACTTCCACCGATATATATTTTCATACACTGTGCAGAACACGTGGGGAGAACCAAATTCAATTTCTTCGGACTGGACATGCAAATAAGTTGTAGAACACATAATGGAACAAATTAAAACAAGCAAACTAAAAAAAAGCAAGTTAATTAAGTTCCACCCTTTAACGGAAGAACACCCTGGTCTACCACCCTTATCGCCCAGATGCTAAGCGAGCGACGCTGTCGGTCGGTCTGAACTAACTCGCTGCTGTATTTCCGGCTGCAGAGAAAACCCGTCAGGTTAACAATGAAATCCACATCCTGTTCTTCTCTGCATCTGCTGCAGCCTCAAGTGATTCTGGAAACGTCTCGGCTTCTGTCGTTCACATCTGCATTCAGGACAGGCAAAACTGCCTTTTGGGATTCCTGGCACCAGGGAAGCTGAAACGCAGCATGTTCGGGATTCGTCCCGCCAAGACGATCACCGAAACTGTAGAACCCAGAAAAAGCCTCAGCTGCTCAGTGCTTCTGTGCTCAGTTCAGCGGATGAGGCTGAAGAAAGCATATGTTGTTTTCACGCTTTGCTTCCAGGTGGGACTGTGTCTTTAAAAAAAAAAAAAAACATGCGCTCCTTGGTGTGCTGCTCGTGGCTTTGCATAAACAAATGGTCTGTTGTACAAGTCTACATAAAAAATGAATGCATCCTTCGTTTAATCGCCCATAGGAGCCACACTAGCTAGCAAGCATTTGCTCCTCGTAGGGTCATTATTCTTTGTCTGGTCGGGTTCGGCGTTTTAAAGATGTATTCTGGAGCAGATGGTTCCAGGTTCAGGATTAAGACCACCACTAGTTTGCTCTTTTATCTCCTGGTGAAAAAAACAACAACCTGCACTTCTAGCAGCAAACAACCAGGAGGGTTCCTTCATGTCACACGGCGGCCATTACAGTGAACCCAGTCAGGCCTTGTTCTCCTGCAGGAGCAGGAAGCTCCGCAATCACAGCGCGAGCTTGAGAGCGGCATGCCTTTATCTAACATCTCTGAACCAAAATAGCATGAGTCCAGGGCAAAACTGGGAGCATGGCACGTCACATGATCGCATTTCAGACGTGCTAGTCCGTCGTGTGCACACGGACGGACACCGAGACGCGCGAGCACATGCTTTTTGTTTAAGAACAACACCTTGCCTAAGTATTTGTATCCTGAGGGCTTTTTCTACCACAATTGTTGACGTAATTACTTGGACTGGATGTGATTGTCCTTCACAAAGCAGAGCATAATTGCGAGGTGGAAGGTCAATAAGAACTTCTGTCTCAGCCTTAAACTGAGACAGCTTCGTTAGCGACTTTTCTGGGATTAACTTTCCTTCCATATTTCTTCCCATCGGCTCTAACCAGCATCCCCACAGCATGATGCTGCCACCTCCATTGTTCTGTAAATGCAATTAATATATTGTTCTTTTTTTTCTTTCTCAATAACCCTATTGCAAGGCGTCCCCCAGAAAATTTGCTAATCTCTGTGGTTGGGCGCGAGGGCAGTCAATTCATCCAGCGGCCCGTTGTGTTTTTGAGTTAAAAATTGTTTACAGTTGACAGGAAATGTGAAAATATGACTTGATAATTATGTCGTCAAAAGATTAATTCCTGAAAACCAACTATAAAGTCTTACAAATGCAAAGATTTAATAAAAAAAAATTACAAAAGAAACCTTTAGAAAATAAGCAATGCTTAGCCTGGTCGGGGCCAGTGTTCCCAGCTGGCTAATTGGTGTCAAATGGTAAACAGAGAATGAGAGCTGGTCCTTGCACATTAGCACAGCTTGATCACAACAAAGACTATGATTTCAACCCCATCACCGCCTTACGCAGACGTTCAAAGTCTCTGTGTCTAAATTCTCTCCAAATGACCATTCTTGGAGTAAATAAGCTTTTCTTCTTTTTATTTTTTCCCCTCAAAACCTTTTAGCGATTCTTCACAAAGGCTTAATCACTGCCTTTACACCATTTGTCCCATGGATAAATTATCCAGGAAACAAACCTGCCAGCTTGGCCTGTGCTGCCAAGCCTCACGCTACACATTTCAAAGTCCGCAAGGCGGTGTGTGGAAACAATCAGTAGATCATCTGGACAGGGCCAGTGTTCGGTGCTTTTTTTTTTATATTATGCTTTTGTGCTGCGCAGAGGTGAGTTATGAGAGAGCTTGTCGGCGGTGGCAGCAGTCCGGGCCCGACGTAGAGCCGCTGGAGCAGAGCCGAGCTGCACGCGGTAACAGGCCCCCGTCAGGAATCTAATCTTCACCTTCCGCAGCTGTTTCCTCCTTTTCACTGCGGATCCAGCGAATGGGACGTCACTCGCATCCATCTCAGCCTGCTGTTTTGCGTTTTGTCCTCCAATCTCGGGGGCTGTTTGTAGAGATTTTTTTTTTTTGAAAGGTATTTCCTGGCATGTTGGCGAAGAGAGAACAGAGCAGTGCAGAGATGTCGAGCTGGATCAAGGGGTCATTTTCATTCACCAAATAAGGCTGCTTTCTCAATTCAGAGTGTCTCTTCTGGGTACAGAGTGCAGATTGGACAATAATTGAAAATGTAATGTGTTTTGTTTTGTTGTTTTTTTAATCTTGTATTTTTTTTTTTTTGCCAAAAGGGGCACAGGCTTCGTAATCACTGCTGCGGTGTCCGTCCTTTGGGACGTTGTTTCTTTGCGTTTGTCTGCAGCTAAATGAATTGTTAGCGTCAGCTAATCCTGTTTTAAGCCCGGCATGGTGGGAGCCAGAACCCCTTGGCCTGCTTTAAATAATGCTCACATGACGGGGACGCTCATTTGAGTTTACTTTGTTTATTTAAATATGTGACTGTGTCACTGCGCCGCTGAGGCCAGAGCTGCGAGAAGAATGAAGCGTTTCCCATAGCAAGGCAATTCACAGTCGACTCCAGTAGGAGGATTTATCATCTGGGAATGCCAGCAAAACTCAGCCTCCGGATGCAATGCCAATGGCCAGGAATAAATAAAGCTGCTACCCAGGCTTCTCTGTAAAATCAACCAAACTCTTTGACCTAGCACAGGCCACATGTCATGATGAGGGCTTATTGGCTTTGCTATTGTATTATGTAGTCCAGATCAAATTTGTCTTACAGTAATGCACGTTTCTCTGATGGCATCGCAAGTGGTCAGAGTTACTTTTGGCGCGTCTACTTGTACTTCTCGTATTTGTTCTTTATTGGTGCGGTTGCACAGATTCCTTCTTCGAAAGATAGGCTATTTATCTTACTTTTTACAGTACAGGAAAACATGGGATAGATTTCCAGTGGATTTTCGAAACTGTCAGTGGTAATCCAATGGCAACGATCCCAATCCCACCAGTGGCAGTGTACATACACATCAATCAAACATTTACGCCAGTATAGCATCTGCTCATTTGATGAAGGTATGTACGGAAGGCAAGCAGAAACACAATCGGATTCATAAAGTCAAGTTTTTAAGGCAGTCGTTGTCGTTGCTTCAACTTCGTGGCCTGTGCCTCACCAGGGTCAAACATGCGGTTTGAACTGTTTGCAAATGATGCAGAATCTATGCCAAACGCTATTAAAAGTCGCTCGACTAC